ACTCCATCTCGGGTCCATCTTGGGTCCATCTCGGACTCCATCTTGGACTCCATCTTAGGTCCATCTCGGACTCCATCTCGGACTTCATCTTGGGTCCATCTCAGACTCCATCTCAGGTCCATTTCAAACTCCATCCTAGACTCCATCTCAGGTCCATCTCAGGTCCATCTCGGACTCCATCTCATACTCCATCTATGGTCCATATCGGGTCCATCTCAAACTCCATCTCGGACTCCATCTTGTGTCCATCTTGGGTTCATCTCGGACTCCATCTCGGGTCCATCTCGGGTCCATCTCAGACTCCATCTCAGACTCTTTCTCAGACACTTTCATGTGTCATGTGTTGGTCCTCTTGTGTTTGTTTTCTAGAGGCTCACTTATTGCTTACTTCATGCTTGTTCATTGAGCACTTCATTAGGAGTTCCACTCCCGCTCTTGACCTTTCAAGTCGGAGCTTTTAGTCCAAATTGTAAGGAACCAACTCCCCGAGGTGTTGTAAGCTAAAGGATCCTCGAAAACATGACCGAAATGATAAAGAATTCATTAGATGGAACTGAGTCTGAGATCGAGTCCAAGACCGAGTTTGAGACCGAGTTCAAGACCAAGCTTGAGACAGAGTCCGAGATCCGAGATCAGGTCCGAGACCGAGTCCGAGTTTAAGTCCGAGTTCGAGTCTGAGGTCGGGTCTGAGGTTGAGTCCGAGATTGAGTTCAAGACTGAGTCCGAGGTTAGGTCCGAGATCGAGTTTGAGATCGAGTCCGAGACCGAGTCCAAGTACTAATACAAGTCAAGGGGTTGAAGCCCAAAGCGTGCGTCTCCCAAGGGGGGGGGAGGGGGGGGGGGGGGAGCATTGTAGGGGATTCCAAAAGTATAGTAGGGATAATGAGGTCCAAGAATCAGTCTTGAAAGAACTCTCTAGTGGTGCTTCCAAACTGATTTGAGGTTGATACTGAGGCCGAGGGGCCTTGAGTGGGAGTGAGCATGGACTCGGGTGGTGCCAAAAGGGCCACCCAAGGAAGTGGCCAAAAGCAGCTCCCACTCTCAGAAGGGAAACTGACTGTAGTGCTTATGACTCATGTGGAGTTGTGCCCCACTTGAGTGCCTTGCGGCTCATTGGTCCTCACCCTTCCTAGGGGCTTGGGCCTTCCCTTCGGGATGGAGGTGGGGGGTGGGGGGTAGAGGGCCGTTAGGCCATGGTGTTTCCCCCTAGCGTCCCGAAGCAAGTGTTACACCCAAGGCTTAGGATTTAGAGGGTCCTATGATCAAGTCTTATTGTACCAAGGGATGTTAAGAACTTAAAGGTTTGGTGTGCTTGGCTGCTTATGCTTGTGGGGAGTGTAGCCAAACCTTAAATCCAGTCTAACCTAGAAAGGGGGATTAGGAGAGATTTGGGAATCTGTGGAGGGGGCGGGGGGGGGAAGTAGAGGTACCTATACTAGACCGTTAGGTTAAAGTGTTTCCCCCCGACATCCTAAAGCAAGTGTTGCACCCAAGGCTTTGGATTTAGAGGGTCCTATGATCAAGTCTTGTTGTACTAAGGGATGTTAAAAACTTGGAAGCTTAGTGTGCTTGACTGCTTGTGCCTGTGGGGAATGTAGCTGAATTTTAAGTTCAGTCTAACTTGGGGAGGGGGATTGGGAGAGATTTGGGAATCCATGGATGGATGGCTAACGCTCTGTTGCTTGTGCAGTGAGTAGTTAAAACTAAGTATAAGCTGGTACAATAGGCAGGTACCTTGGTGAGGGAACTTAGCTAAAACCAAGGCAGTGCTGGTCGGATAGACAAAGTAAGCTAGCAAATTGGAAAGGAAAAGTTTTGTGGCTTACACAAATGTATTATGCTCGTTTAGCTTTCACTTCAACCACTACCACGTGGCACCCTTTCGGCTCCACTTTGGGGCTTAGGGATTTGTGTCTCACACAAAATCTTCATTTTTGAAAATATAGGATTCATTATTTAACAAAATTCAATAGCAAGTATACCATCAATAACACTTGATGATAAAACTTAATTATTAAAGATTTTAGATAACATGCTAGACAACTTACAAAAGATAACTC